TGTTTGATCACGTGTTTCATCAGTCAGCTGGGCCACACCAAAGTACTGGTGTTGATCAAAAATAAAATGTGGCCATCGTAAATCAAGTCAAGCAGCCGTTCAGTCCTGACTCCATTAAAACACGTTTGAAACCGAAACGCTGACTCGGCCTTTATCTTCTGCCCTCTAGCAGATTCCAAACAGATTTCAGGATCATGAAAATCCAAAGGAAGCAAAAACACAACCAGTTAATGCCAGAAATGCGTAACGATCTCTCCTTCAGAACAGCAAGAATAAAAACATCAGAATAAATCTTTAGAACAGGACCACCCTTTATAGTGGAGTGTGTTTTCAAACCAAATCATAAACCAGTACATTCTGCCCGCTGCTACGGACGAAGCAAAAAGTTAGATGGACCACAGCCTGATGGGAGCGTTTCACATGATGAAGGACTAAAGTCTCCTCATCAGTTCTGAGGTGGGTGGTTTAGCTTCTCTCCAGCTAATGTCTTTGGCGTCCACCCAACAGGAATCCCATTGTGTGACACGGATGTTGTCCTGGAACCAGAGCTCAGAAGCCTCCATCTGTGGGTTGCACTGCTGAGACAACAGCCAGGAAAAGGAAGCCCCTCTTCACATCCGGCACACACAGGCACTGACAGGATGAGATCTCATCCATCAACAACTTATTTCAATGCTGAGTGATTTGGGTCCATTTGGGTCTCCTGTGGATTCGGCACACACCTGTCATTTGCATAATTAAGCTCTGGAGGAGCTGTATTAAATCCACACCCCATCAATCAGAGAAACATCAAGACCTCCCAACTCCTGGCTTCCTGACTTAATTTGAAATGCTAAACCAAGCTGTTCTCCAAGCCTGGAGCCTGGCCGCGCCACTCGGGCCGCCCAGCGGCTTCCATACGCGTTAGTAGGTTCAGTCAGACGAGGCTCAGCCCTTCCCTTAGGGGGGTCAAACATCAATCAGTCCCCAACTAACTTCTGTCCAATTCCCTGACAGCCGAGATGGATGGAGCCAGTGTCCACGGGATGCTGTAGCCTCTCATTAATTCTCTTGTTGGAATGCACGGATCGCTGGGAGATACGGTGCGTTTTATCTGTTTTCTAGCAGTTAAGAGGCGGCTGGCTTGTCCAGGCTGAGGGTCAACAGTTACTCATTCCTCAGACTGGTTACTTAGTGCCACGATGATGCGATGTGTCAAAATCGGATGACATCCTTTCTCAGCATTGAGTAAAACAAAGACTCCAGTGTCCAGCCACAAGGGCCGTCTCTGTCCAAATGTCTCTGCGGCTCCACTGCAACCAGAAGACGCCGCTACACAGAGCCCGTGGATGAATAGGCACTATTTTCACAACACGCACTTCTTCGCTCGGAGAGAAGCCCTCGCGGGCTGCAAGGACTCCTCAACAGGCCTTTTTCAACACTCCCTCCACAAACACAGCAGGCGCAGAAGAAGAGTCACATTTACTGCCACACATCTCCTTACAAAGAGCTAAAGACACAAGGGGAGGAGGGGAGGGGTGGCCACAAGTGAAAGACAAGGGGTCCCTCTTAGCCGACGGCGATGAATGAGTGGATCACAACACGTTTTGAAGAAGACCTTTGCGTCTGCACAGGGGGCTCCTCAAATGACATGACTGACAGCTATGTGCACTTACTCCACCTGCACCCACGCCACGGCTGAGCGGCTCCCTCAGTGCCAACGTTAGGTTCAGAGAACAGTGAACCTACTATAAGCAGACAGTTAAGATCTCTCCTGAGGAGTCAGACGGCCTCAGACGGACGGAAGCAGGAGAACCGTGTTTAAAACCTGGACATGTTCCTTAGTTTGTAAATGAAAGGGTGGCGCACCCAGGAACACCGACCACCAGACAGCTTAGCTTACAGCAGCTCTGGGTCACACTAAAGAACGCGACACACACACAGTCCCTGACGGTCAAAGGCACTTGCATGAACTCCACGATGACATTAGTTTGAACTGTTAGGACAGAACAGGTTTCACGTAATGCTGAAGTGCTCATCCTCTGATTTTTTTTCTGTGATCTATTGACAAACCTCTCCAAGCTGCCAAATGGAGGCTAGCTGAGAGACATCTCCAGTCCCTGATCTGTGTCCTGCGTCCCATGTTCGGTCTCTCGGGACAACTAAAAACACGCCTCGTGCCAAACTCCATCACGGAGCCTCAGGAGCAGCTGGTGGGAATGGCACTAAATTATGAGGTTATAATTTAAGTTCGTTTTAAACCCATGTCTCCATTTAACCCCAATTTATCCTCGTTTGATTCTAAATTTGGTCTCCACCTGCTCCCAAGGTGGTCTTGGATGCCGTCCCCTCACAGCGGACAGAAGCACCTGCACTAGACAGGCCGCGGCCCAGAGTCTCGGACTGTTTGAACAGTCACAGACGCTTGGACTCACTGCTCCGTCGTTCAGCTGATAGAAATACTGTGAACAGGCTTTAAGTTGTTCTTGAAGAAAGTACTGCATGGACAATTTGGTGTCAGTGAAGCTGCTCGTAGAAGTGCTGATGGTGCACCGTGATTCTCATTTTATTTACATTAAGTACCCCTTAATACCAAGGCTTCTCATGCCTCAGTGGAGATGACGCTCATAAAGGTGCAGTGTTGAGGCTGGAGTCGGATCCACGGGGCTTTCAACAACGCTGGTGCCTTCTAGCACCG